CGTGCGTGGGTGGGTGGGTGGGTGGGTGGGTGGGTTGGTGTGGGTGTGGGTGTGGGTGTGGGTGTGGGTGTGTGTGTGTGTGCGCGTGTGTTTGTGCGCGTGTGTGTGTGTGTGCGCGTGTGTGTGCGTGTGTGTCTGTGTGAGAGTGTTCGTGCGGGCGGGCGGGCGGGCGGGCGTGCGTGCGGGCGCGCGCGCGTGCGTGCGTGCGGGTGTGGGTGTTTGTGTGGGTGTGGGTGCGGGTGTGTGTGTGTGTGCGTGCGTTTGTTTGTGCGTGTGTGTGCGTGTGTGCGTGTGTTTGTGTTTGTGTGTGCGTGTGCGTTTGTGCGTGTGTGTGTGTGTGTGTGTGCGTTTGTGTGTGTGTCTCTGTGTCTGTGTGTCTGTGTAATGTCTGCGCGTGCGTGCGTGCGTGCGTGCGTGCGTGCGTGCGTGCGTGCGTGGGTGGGTGGGTGGGTGGGTGGGTGGGTGGGTGGGTGGGTGGGTGGGTGTGTGTGTTCGCGTGTCTTTGCGTGTCGCTGTGTGTGTCTGTGTGCCTGTGTGTGTCTGTGTAATGTCTGTGTGTGTGTGTCTGTGTGTGCGTGTCTGTGTGTGCGTCTGTGTGTCTGTGTGTGTGTCTCTGTGTGTCTCTGTGTGTCTCTGTGTGTGTGTGTGTCTCTGTGTGTGTGTGTGTCTGTGTGTGTTCTGTGTCTGTCTCTCTCTCTCTCTCTCTCTGTGTCTGTGTGTGTGTCTGTGTCGTTCTGTGTGTGTGTGTCTCTGTGTGTGTCTCTGTGTGTGTCTCTGTCTGTGTGTCTGCGTGTCTGCGTGTGTTTGTTGAGGGCACTTTTTTTAGGCGGGCTGAAAGGGAACCCAAAAGTAAAACCACCAGTTTGGGGCGTAATTACCCCAATGACACATAACCATATTTGTTGGCTAAACTCGCTTTGGGAGAAGCACTGCACTGGCTGTGCCGTGCAGGTGACGACGGAGATGCGGATCGCAAGCCGCTGTCTGCGCTGCTGGTGAGCCAGCTGGAATCCTCTGACACTGCTCCTGGACATCCACTAAGCTATTTCAGGGGCCACCTTTGGCTTAGGTTTTGGGGCCCAGCGCTCTGCAACATGTGGCCAGCAATGTGCTGGGTGCCGAGTGAGATTGCAAGGTTCGTGTTGGATGCACAAATGCCGGCCGTGAGAAACATGTGGTGCTGAGGTTGTGATCAACAAGACAGACCTGGCTGCTCATCTGCAATCTGCAACGTTCTGGCCCTTTCCAATAGATCTGGTCCTTGGCCTGGCCGCACCAGGGTGCCAAGGATTCAGTACCACGTAGCTTGTTCCAACACGGGATGCTTTGCCTTGGACCACTTTTGCCCTGAGTTCTTGGACATTTAATTACCTTTTGCGGAAGGCTTTTTTTGTGGTGGCCAACGAACAGTTTGGCTACTTTTTCCCATCTCAGGAAGTGAGTTTTCGAAGTCGGTGGTCCCTTCCTTTTTGCCCCTTCTTAAGGTTGCGTGCTGAGGTGGGTTCGGAGGAGGTGGCGAAGCTCAAGGAGCTTTTGAAGAACCTGAGCCCCAATGCTCGGCAGTTCACTGCAGAGCGCGGGGCGATCCCTTTGAGGAGCTGCAGCCTGGGGGGGGGGTTAGGTGGGGGATGGGGGCGGATGGGTAGCGGAGCTTGTTCCCTGGGGGGACGGGCGGGGCGCGTTTTTTTTCTGCCTTGGAACTGATTGCCGTGTTTTTGTGTTGTCGTTTTGTTGTGTCAGCTGTATCGTGGAACCTGCTGGGTTCAAGGTGTTGCGGCTTGGGAGCGGGAATTAGTTCGTTAGGACTGCCCCCCGAAGGGAGGGAGTGCCAACTGATGGCGCCCGCCTTGAAAGGAAAGTTTGGATCCTGATGACTGTGGGGAATGTTGAAGGGATATGGGACTCAGGGTCAAGACTTGTGCTTGGTTCCGATATGCCAGGGTAGCGAGTTCCTCTTTGTGTTGCTTTCTGGTGTCAAGGGCAGTGGCTTCGCACTTGAGGAGTTTCATGGGGCCAGGTGGGTCAAGAGGAGGCCGTCCTGAGCATGACCAATTTCCCACACCGCGGCACAGTAAGGCCCTTTGAATGAGCCGGACATGGTACATTTGCTTGCTTGCTGCCAAGTACAGGCAGGCAACATTTCAGCGTTGTTGAATATGGTTCCTGTTTTGTAAGGCTTGGATGTCCTGCGCAGGCCTTTTCTTAAAGAGATGAGGCATGCATAAGAGGCGTGGCCAGCAGCGCCATGTCAGTTGTAAAGGTAGAAGAAGAGACGTCGCCATGGCAAGTGACGATGACGGTGCTTCTGCTCATCCTTTTTCCGCAAGCAGTTGCCATCGCTTTGTTCTCAAGCATGGGCTTGGCCGTGGAGGTTGCCGCGCTTGCAGCGAAAGACGACATGGATATGGCCGGCAACGGCATGGCGGCGTTATTCGCCATGCTGCTGGCATTTGCCTTCGTGATTGATGTCACCAAGAGAAATGTTGTTGTGCAAGTCATTGTGACTTGGTTGCCCTTTGCCTTGTCGTTTGACCATTTTCCAGCCTAGCCAACAAAACCAGAATCATCTAGATAATTGTGAAATTCATATTTGCCTACTTTAAAACTGCTAACATCATATATATATATATATATATCTATCTGTCAACGTTGCTTTTCCAGTGTCAAGAGCAATAGCAATTGGGAATCCTTTGCAAACAGACCCCATTTCATAAACCTCTAATGCATTTTTATTTATTAAAGAGTCTTCTTCTTTTTTACGTCAATTTTACAAGTAAGGTCCGGCAGAGCCGGGGGGCGGAAGTTTCAAAGCAGTGAACAACTATAGTTTGGAGAACTGTCCTTGGCCCCTTGCTTCTCTCTCTCTCTCTCTTTTTCTCTCTTTCTCTCTTTCTCTTTCTCTTTCTCTTTCTCTTTCTGTTTCTCTGTCTCTTTCTCTCTCTCTCTCTCTCTCTTTCTCTCTCTCTCTCTCTCTCTTTCTCTCTCTCTCTCTCTCTCTCTCTCTCTTTCTTCTCTTTCCCTTTCCAAAGCTCCCAACGAGCGCTTCAAGTTCAACTCTCCTCCCTCCCCCCCGAGAGCGCCTTTTCTTTGTGTCTGCCCAAGCCGTGCTGTAGTCTGGGCTGGAGCACGCGGCCCGAAACGGCACGCGTGTCAAGCGCAAAAGCTAGGCTTTTCTATTCGTCTGCTTCAGCGGTGCAGCAGTCCGCGCGAGCGCGCGGCCCGACGCGGCACGCGCCGACACGAACGCGCGGCCCGAAACGGCACGCGCGTCATCAAGCACGAAAGCTGGGCGAGGTCAAAGCCTCTTTTACTCTGGCAACCTTAGTCAACGGAGTCATTGCCTTGGCGTCTTCCTGAAGACGCTTGATCTCAAGGCTGGGCTGGGAGTCCAAGGAAAGCTGCCACGCCCGACGGCGGGCAAACGGCTCGATATCTCCGTCCGCAGCCGGAAACTGGAAGATCACCTGCCAGTGACGCAAGGAAGGCTCGCCGTCCGTGTCGAACAGAACATGAGGCTTTGCAACCATGCAACAGCGTGTCAGGCCGCTGTCGCGCGATGGCCAAGCTGTCTCTGACGCTGACCACCCACATGAGGTCCGCGCGGATATCTGGCTGCGTGGCGTCTGCGCACTCGAAGATGATTCGCACTCCGCGCTCGGCTTCGTTGCACTCCTGCACAGGATCTTTGGCCGTCACTCGCAGTAAGAGCTCCGCGTACTGGACTGGCAGATCCTCACCTGCCGCAATTTGCCCTGCGTCATCCAAGTTCGCGTCTGACAAGTAGATGCATGGGCAGCCCGGGAGTGAGGCGGCCGCGCGCAAGCACAGGAGTGGCTTTGCTGAGCCCGAGTAGGTAAGCGGAGCCTCGCGAACATGCACCACTTGCAAGGTGTTGCGCGCGGCGCGAGAGCCAGTCGGTCCAGAGTACGCTTCGTCGTGCGCCACGACGAAGCGCACAGCCCACTTGCGGGCTCGGATATCGTGCTCCGCATTCTCTCGCGACTGTACCGCGTCGCCCGGCCGAAACGCCAAGGCAGCACGCAGCACTTCGTCGACGCACTTGGTAAAGATCCTCGCGTCCAGCGTGGCCGTGTGATCCCACACAGTAGCCTCCAGGCTGTAGCACGGCCGGATGCCAGCTTCGTCGTGTTTGTCGCAAGTCTTGCGAAAGCAAGTGGCGCAGCCTGTGTAGTGCCAAGAGTCTTCCGGCACCCGGGACAAGGTCTGCAGGTGAGCCAGCGTGCAGAACGGTGCCTCCCACACGTCCTCGTGAGTGAACTTCTTCGCTTCGGCCGCCGGCAAAAAAGCGCCGAGCGTCGCCAGCGAGACCAAAGTCGCCGGTCCGGCGCCGTAGTCTCGCGCGGCAGCGCCGCCAGCGCGCAGGGAGAGTGTCTTGCAGCGCTCGCGGCCAGCAAAACAAACATTCTCGGCTTTTCACTCGCGTTTCTTACTCCATGGCCAGCGCTTGGTCGCTGCGCGCGCGCGCGGCCCGAACCGGCACGGCGGCACATGGCGTGTCCAAGTAGCACGCTCGCTGCGCAAGGCTCAAGACAGCACGCCCGCTCGTGTCCGCCACAAGCGGCCCGAAACGGCACGCTAGCTCGGCAAGCGCAGGTCTGGGGTGCCTGGCTTGCAAATAAGCAAAAAGGTTATCTTTGGAACCTCACCCAGGCAGAGGTGGAGCGCACCAACGGAAGTGCCCAGCAAAAGTTCTTGGGGTGCCGCAGCTTCTGTTCGCTTTCAAAATGTGACGGCGCCAGAAATCTCAAAGGTTAACTTGCTAGGCTCGAGTTTGGTTCTGTTAGCCAATGTCTTCGCTGATATATAGCTCCAATAGTTCCAAATCGCTAAGCACCCCCGCAGTTTTTCCCCGTCGATCAGGAGCTTTTGCTTCTCTTATCCCAGCGCGCGGCCCGAGACGGCACGCCCGCGGCACGACAGTTTTTCTCCGGCTGACTCTACGCACTCTGCCCACTTAGCTTTATACCACGTAGTTTTTTTCCCCGCCGATCGGGAACTTTTGCTTTTCCCATCCCGCTGCCCGCGGCCCGAAGCGGCACGCTAGGTCGGCTTCGCGCTCTGGCGCGCGGCTCGAAACAGCACGCTCGCAGCGTGGTCTTTTTCTCCGGCTGGCCCCACGCCCTCCGCCTACTTGAGCTTACGCCCCTCAGCTTTGTCCCCGCCGGACGGGAATTTTGCTGTTCTTATCCTAGCGCGCGGCCCAAGACGGCACGCCCGCGGCACGACAGCTTTTCTCCGGCTGACTCTACGCACTCTGCCCTCTTAGCTTTATACCACGCAATTATATTTTTTGCCCGCACATCGGGAGATTTTGTCTTGCTTATCCTAGCGCGCGGCCCGAAGCGGCACGCCCGCTGCCCGCGGCCCGAATCGGCACGCTGGCTCGGCTTCGCGCTCTGGCGCGCGGCCCGACACGGCACGCTCGCAGCGCGATAGCTTTTCCCCGGCAGGCCCCAGGCGCTCTGCCCACCCGAGTTTATGCCCAGCATTTTTTATCCCAGCCGGACGGGATCTTTTGCTTTGCTTATCCTAGCGCGCGGCCCAAGACGGCACGCCCGCAGCATGATAGTTTTTCTCCGGCCGACCCTACGCACTCTGCCCACTGAACTTTATGCCCCGCAGTTTTTTCCCCGCCGATCGGGAACTTTTTTGTTTGTTTTTTTTTTTTTTGTTTTGTGTTTTGTTTTTTTTATTATTGTTTTAGTTTATTTTTTTGTTTGTCTTATCCTACCGCGCGGTCCGAAACGACACGCCCGCTGCCCGCGGCCCGAAACGGCACGCTCGCAGCGCGGTAGTTTTTCCCCGGCTGGCCCTACGCGCTCCGCCTACTTAAGTGTGTGCCCAGCAATTTTACCCCCGCCGCACGGGAGCTTTTTTTTCTTATCCTCGTGCGCGGCCGGACATGGCGCGCCCTCCTACCGCGCGGCCCGAAACGGCTCGCTAGCTCGGCTCCGCGCTCTCGCGCGCGGCCCGAAACGGCACGCCCGCAGCACGATACTTTTTCTCCGGCAGGCCCCCCCCCGCCGGACGGGAACTCTTGTGTATCTCATCCTACCGCGCGGCCCGAAATGGCACGCCCGCTGCTCGCGGCCCGACACAGCATGCCCGCTCAGCTTCGCGCTCTTGCGCGCAGCCCGAAACGGCACGCTCGCTGCGCGCGGTCTTGCCCGCTGGACTTTATTTATACCCTATATGTTTGTCTTCATGCTGCTTGGATACTTCAATGCAAACAGCTGCAGACGTCAATGCAAAAAGCTGCAGAAGCGAAACGGCGAAAACTCCCCCCAACATCTCCAAATCACAAGGCCCTCTGAAACATGCACAACAACTGGCCACCTACTTCAATGGGATCACTAGCATCAGAAATCCACCAATTGGTGCGTTTTCTTGTCCCGCAGAGAACGTCGCACGAACACGTTGAGACACTGATGAAAGCAACATAGCCAGATTCGACAAAGCAGTGATAACTCCCCCCAAAATCGCCGAAACAGGGCCCTCTGAAACATGTACAACAACTGGCCTTGCAAGAAAAAAAACAGAGGTCACAGCAACAACCTAGCTGCGATCTAGAGGAAATAACAACGGTCCCCCTGCCCTTGCTGCCTCAGCCTTACTGAGTCATTCTCGCGCGTGCGCTCCCGTCGTCCCTGCCAGTCGCGTTCCCCCTCGGTCGTTTTCACAGACTCGCGCGGCGTCTGCCCTGTTGTTGCAGCGGCCAGTACGAATCGAAACGAAGAGAAACAAACAAAAGGACCTGACACGCCGGTCGGCCGCGCGGCACCGGCGCCCGCCCACAGCCCTCACCGGTGCGCGCGCCTGCCGCCGCTACGAAAAGGGGACCACGCTAACCACGACAAACATGCGTAATGACCGCGGCAACAACAGGGCTGCTTTGTCAAGGTAAAGGCCGCGCGCCGCTCGAAACCGCAAGCGCAGCGGCCAGCAGTGCTGGCTACACAAAAGGATGCCCAAGGAGGGTGCAGCTTGCTCAAAGGAGACCACATAAGCAATCCCCTGTGTTGCGCAGCTTTGCGCCATGTCACGCGCGGCAACAAGGCTGCTTTGTCGAGGTGAAGGTCGCGCGCTGCCCGAAACAGCAAGCGCAGCGGCCGCTGTCTGCGCGCGCTCCTATGGCTTGCAGCCTGCCGAAAGATGCGCAAGTAAGCCACCTATGGCCTGCAGCGGCCCCTTACTCGTAGTCGCAGTCGGAACACTGCTCCTCTAAAAACTTTTCTCCGAAGAACTCCGGCTCGGAGTCCGGTAGCTCATCAGGCATGGACAAGTCCCCGTACTTTTGCACGAGGTCTTCTTCATCCTCGTAGGCCTGGCGGCCTTCTTCCGGGTCTGCCGTGTACTCGGCCGCGGACATTGCCCGCATGGTCTTGCGGCGCTTGCGGCCGCCGCCAAGCTTCGAGGCGGGAAGCTTTGTCGGCCTGTCGTCGTAGTGCGGGGCGCTCAGCATTCCGCGCAGAGACAGCA